TTTAGTTGAAAATATTTGAACAAGAAAAAGTTGTTGCTGAATATTGTGAAAAAATAACACTAATTCATGATGCAATGGCATTACAAATTCTAGGTTCTCCTGAAAATGAAGAATATCGCTATGAAAATTTTCAGCCCAGAAAAGTTCATTTTATGGAGAAGAAAAATGCTAAGGTATACTAAGTTAATGTTTGAAATAATGAAATAAAATATTCTATAGTTCTATGTGAATGAAACATTAATCAATTTAAAAAAAAATTCTTCTGTGTGTGTGTGTGTAAAACTTTTTTTTATATAGCTTATTGAGTTAGAAGAGTTGAAAAGTAAAACATTTAAAAAATCACATGGACCACTTGTTAATAAACTCAATGAAGTTCTATGTGGTCTTAATGTTCAAAGACAAGCTTATCACGAAAAATGTTTTATTGGGAATCATGTTCTTTAAATTTTAAAGGTATTTCCATACATATTTTTGCATACTTGTGAATATGAATTGTATAAATATTTTCTCAATCATATAAGTTCGTAATGCAAAGAGGTGTTAATTTTGTAAATTATAAAATTATCTTCGATCTATTAGTTAAACAGTGTTCTAGATCTTTGCAATTAGATACCTAAAATTGTAAGCGATATTGGATTTATTGATACAGATGTTCATAACGAGGCAAAGGTCTTGAGTGAAAAATTTTTTCCTTTGTTCTCCAAATACGCGACATGCTACAACATTATGAATTTAAGTGAAATAGTTAATAATAGTCCATTATTAGAGTTAGGTAAAAATATATTTTTATAAACTGTTTTGTATTATGTTACTTGTATTAAAATTCCTCTTGCTTGCATAATTATTCTTTCTTTGTTTTCTATCCTTTTTATCATTTTTATTAACATTTTTTTTTGAATCAGAAGGAGCCATTGGAGAATTAATGAATTATTTTCGTAAACATGGCTCAATAGTCCATCACGCCAAAAATGCATTTATTAGAAAGTCATTATGTTGATTTTATTAGAAATTGGGAATTCAACAGTATGAACAGCACCTTTTGCCACATGAAAGCAAAGACTAGAAAAGATTCTGTCCAAACATTACATCAAAAATTCCCCAGAAACTTTGGAAATCAAACCAAATTTTCAAGAAAGAAAAGCTTATAAAAGAAAAGTCTTGTGATGTTTCTTAGATAATTGTATATAAGATTGTAATTGCATAACGACCTAATTTTAATGTTTATTGTAAGCAAAAAATATACATTCTACTTCCGAATATAATAAATATTTAATATAATAAATAGTTAATATTTTGGTTACTAGACAACAACAAATATTTCATTTTGTATTCATTAGATTGAGTAGATGTGTTATTTCTTACGTTATCTTTGACATCTTGGAAAGTAACTATAGTTACTTTCGGAAGTTTTAGGCAGAAAACGTATATTTTTATTTTACGAAAAAAGTTCAAAAAATATACAGAAAAAAATAATCGGCTCTTCAAAGTTTGGCAGAATTTTTGAGTACCTTAATACTTTCTCTTAAGCATTTCAGCTTTTCTCAAAAAATTTATTCAAGTACTTATTTATTAAGAATTACTGACTTCCTTAAAATTTGTATCTAATAAACCTCCAAAGTTTTAAATTTTATAAAAGATGCAAAAATGTTTTTTTTTTCTTGGTCTTTTCTTTACAACTGGTATAACTTAATATTTATAAAAATAGAAAAATTTAATAACCCAATTTTATCAAAAAGTATATAAAATTTAGCTATTAAAAAAAGAGTTTTTGATATTTTTTTTGCGTTTCGCATCTTTATTGAATAATTAAGTAAATACTTAGCAATGCGCATGCCCAGAATAAAGTTCCGCCGTAAGTGGAAGTAGATTTTGAATTTTTTTCAGTTTTTATTCTGTCCTGCTAACTAAAAAAAAAAACACTTGACAGTTTTTATTTTTATAGTTTTTTTTTTTATATTTTTGAACTAAAAGTGTATGTAGTAATCTCAATATCATATTTTGACTTAAAGTAATAGAGCATCGAAGTTGTTTATTCTGTCAGGATATTTTTGATTTTATGTTTGATGCTACGTCAGTATACATTTTTTAATTTCCAGCTTAAATTATACAATTTAACTTCTTAAGATAAAATCAAAAACTTTGTTATAATTATATTTCTAAGTATTTATTTTTGTATTTTATCTAAACACGCACATTTATTCAATTTTTCTAAAAAACAACTTTTTTATATTATTTCTGTTCTGTGTTATACTTCGGTGTGTTTCTGTTCTGTTTTATACTTCGGTACAGAAAAATGTTTCCTAAAGGCCGTTTTCCACAAGACGAAAAATTCGCGCGAAGCGAATTCTTTCGCTACGACGAAACGCTGCAGCGTTTCGTCTTATATTAAACGATTACATTACAAAATAATATCACATCTTACATATAAAGGCAGAAATGTTAATATTAATGCACGGAAAGAAATTTTCATATGCTTCAAAGTAGAAAGTATGCTAAAAAAGTATTAACTGCCTTCAGTTAAACATACAGCATAAACTTATTGCTACCATTTTTATTGTTGACAACGAAAAAAAAGTAGCGCGAAAGAAAGTAAGTGGAAATCAAAACAGCGCGCTGTTTTGATTTCCACTTACTTTCTTTCGCGCTACTTTTTTTTCGTTGTCAACAATAAAAATGGTAGCAATAAGTTTATGCTGTATGTTTAACTGAAGGCAGTTAATACTTTTTTAGCATACTTTCTACTTTGAAGCATATGAAAATTTCTTTCCGTGCATTAATATTAACATTTCTGCCTTTATATGTAAGATGTGATATTATTTTGTAATATAATCGTTTAATATAAGGTTTTTTTTTACAAGAAAGTATAAGAAAATAAATGCTAAACTCTGATATGAACATTTCTATTAAAAAATATTACTGCAAGAACGAACAGCAGATTTAACTCTACTAAGAATTTTTCACAAAAAGGTTTATCTTCATGTGGCCATTTGACGATAAACATTCTTATGAAGTGTAACTTTCGTAATTGAAAGTGTGAAAATTTATATTTGTAAATTTTTGATTTAGTTTTATATATAAGTCTGGTCATTTTTTTATGTAAGTCTTGCCCCTTGTTTGATAAATTTACTCATGCTAGCCAATTTTCAGACTAAGTTCATATAAAATTAATAAGAACGCCAGGTTAAGAATTTTGTTTTTTGTTACTTTAAAAACATGTTTTCGCTTTTTTTTAATGTTGACATCACGTGATATAATATTCAAAATTTTATTGGTTTTCGCTTAAGGCGATTCGCAAAAAGTCGACTTTTTTTTTTGCTGCAGCGAAACGCTGAAGCGAAAAAAAATCAGTATAATCGCCAAAAATGTTTAATCTGCGCATGCTTAACGACGAAAAAATTGGCTTCGCGCGAATTTTTCGTCTTGTGGAAAACGGCCTTAAATTTAGAAAACATTTTTCTGTACCGAAGTATAAAACAAAACAGAAACACACCGAAGTATAACACAGAATGTGTTATACTTCAAACAACAAAAAAATACAAAAAAAGAATGAGATGTTAACAAAAAAACAAACTCGTTAATTTTATGAAATTTTTTTATCAAAGTTTTTCTATTCTTATTCATTCCACGCTTAAATAGTGAAGTATTACATGTTTTAATAGTTCAGTGGCGTCACTAGGAGGTACGGGCCAACTTTGTTAGTTTCACATTTCACCTATTGTCTAGGAGGGTGACACCAAAAGGGTGACACCAAAAGTACCGCACTGGGTGACACTAGCCTCAGCAAGGCCACTCGTAAAATGAGTTTAATTTTAAGAGTCTTTAATGACGAAAACGTTAACAAACTTTTTTTTATTGCAGTAATAATTTAATTACTTTATAAAGTAATTAAATTATTAGCGTGGAATGGATAAGAATAGAAAAACTTTGATAAAAAAAATTCATAAAATTAACGAGTTTGTTTTTTTGTTTAACATCTCATTTTTAATCAAATTCTAAAATGTTAAAGATGGTAGGCCTATGAAAAAATATTTTCAAGCATCAAAGTTATATTCACAATAAAATTAAGCAATTATAAACAATATTTATGAAATTAAACAAAAAATTAAAAAAATAATAATATTAAAAACTTGTCTCGAAATTTTCGTAAAAAGTGCGAAAAAACCAAAAACTTTAAAACACAATTTCACAAAAGTGGCAATATATTAACACTCTACATATGGACAAAATTCATTTAGTCATAGGATTTTTAAATTTGTCTTCCTTTTTCAGGTTATATTGACTTATAAATTTGAAAAAATGTTTTTTATGAAAAAAACAATGGCGAATAAAGCCACATTGTAGCGCCCCAAAAAAATAAATTTTAAAAATCTTATGACTTGAGTTTTGTAATAAGTTTCTTTAAAAAGTAATTGACATTTACAAGACTCCAATTTTTATTTAAGTTTTTAATTTTAAAAATTTCTAACTTGAGAAAAATTTGTTACTCCAAAGTCATGTTTTTAAAATTTATTTTTTTGTTTGTTTGATTTGCTTAATAGAGAAGTGAATTATATTATTATTCCTATTATGGTTTTTAATACAACTACGATATATTTTTTGAACGTATGCGCAATGAATAGATTGCGATGACGTACTGCCATCTTCAGCTTCTTTGAACCGCAATCCGTTTAACACATGTTTTGTTATAAATGAAACATTGTGTGTGAGTGTGTGTGTGTGTGTACGTGTGTGCGATGTAGAAGTTTTCTTTTATATGAACATTTTACAAACATTTTTTGTGCTAGTATCAATAACATTTCACCTGATACTCAACTAATCCAAACTTTTTCGTATTTTTTTAATAGAGTTAAGACACAATCCCCTTTGAAAAAAGTTTTTTTTTTAAGTATTTTTTTAACTACTATTTATAGCAAATTACAATATAAACATGCGTGACGTCGGCACTTTTCATCTGTGACAATTGTACACTCTTTTTCCAAAAAGGTTTGAAAAAAAAGAGTATTATTCTCGTATCGGGTATTTTGTCGGCAGACGTGAGTGCAATATCTCTAATGCCAAAATGTACCTTCTGGCGCCGCATATGTTTAACTGGAGTTGTTATTCTGTAACATTATTATGAAGTATTTTTACTTTTTATTGTTATACTAATATTTTAATATCTAATGACGTACTTTGTTTTTGTTGTAAATATGCTAAATTTTCAATGTTTTAATGATTCAAAACAGACAATACAAGTAATACATTGATTATTTTGACAGATTTAAAAAATTTGGTATGTGCACAGTCATGTTCAAATAAAATTGAAAATATTTTCATTCATGGAATAAAAACTCCACATCATGAGTTTTAAAACTAAATTGTGCTTTAAAATATATATTTAGAAATCACATCATACTGAGTTTGTTTATTTGATTTATTGTTAATGGAAACAACACTTCAGAGTTTTTTGTGGTATTTTGAAATTTCAGATTTTCTTGTGGCATTTTGAAAGGTAAAATAAGGTTTATAAATCTTTTAAAACACTATAAGAAACTCTGAAATACAAGGATAATATAAAAACATTTTGCCCGTAATATTTTGGCATAACTAGGCTTTAAAGCGTTTTAATATAACGTAAAGATTATTAAGACCAACAACTGAAAAAATAATTTCTATTTTATGCATTTTATTTACGGCATGGCAAAAAATCCCATAAATAATTGTAACAACTCTAATAAATCAAGTAGACGTTTAATAAATATAAATCAAGTTGACGTTTCAACAAGTCTTATAAGACTTATAAGACAGTTTTCCTTAAAAGTTTATAATAAACTTATAAACCTTGAAGGAAAACTCTATTCTTTCTGGCAAATGCGTTTTCGAAACATTTTAACAATAATTGTATACACATACATAGCACGCGTATAGGTATACAATTTGCGTAAACATAATCATACCGAATATAAGTATTATCATATTTTATACAAGGAATTTTCAAAAAGTGACGTTCCAGTTGCTTATAAAAATAATTTACCATAACAACTGTTTATTAAAACAACATTTTTGGATATATAAAGTTATTTTTTCTGACAACGAAGAGGATTCCGATTGTTATCATAATGGCAGCATATAATGTTCCAAAAATTTCAACGTAATCAAACAAAAACGGGGAGCAAATAAACGCTAAAAATGCTCCAGCAGCGCACATTGAGTATCGAATACTGTCGACAAATGTAAGAATACTTGAATTTACCATTTTAGCTAAAGTGCTTACAAAAAAAACATCAATTATTATTGGAGCTCCTCCAAAGCTAAACATATATATAACACATATGATAATATTTAATACTTTATTGTTAGAATAGTTTGAAAGAATAATAAAACTTGTGCTGACGGTGCAGAATCCACCTAAGCAGATTAATAATACCAAAACCATTTTTTTGTCAGAAAAAGGCCTCCAAATAAACAGTAACAAACTAAAACCACAGAAACCACTAGCCCCCAAAAAGCAAATGTTCATTTCCATCATTGAAAGATGCATTTTTTCTATAACTAATAAAGGTAGCCAAATATCTGTGTTAATAACAAAAAACGATAGGAAAAAGTTAGAAAACATAACAAGTGCTGAATCAAAACGCAAAAACAAAACTTTTAAAATTTTGATTATTGTAAATTTGTTTGAATTTATGGATAAAGTTTTTGTCTTTATTTCGTTAGGATATTTATATTGTACTAAAGGTAGTTTCTCATTGTCTTTTATGTCACAATCAGTATAAACTTCGTCGTCTGTACCAGCTATTGCAGTATTCTCCGCAAAAGCTTTGTAGTCAAATTCTTTTGATACATCATATACCATTGTTATTGTAAGAATTTCCATAGCGATACATACAAAACCCATAAAAAGCCCAGGAAAATTTACATCTCGTATATGCCAGTTTCCTATAAAAAAACTAATGTCTTTAAAAAAGAAGTTCACCCCTGGACCGAGTATAAATCCTAAATTGTACATGATTGATAAAACTGATAGTTTCGAACTTGTTTCAGAGACTGGGTAGCTGCGAATTGCTTCGCTAAAAATTACCGACTCTAACGCTCCGCCAAAACCTGCTATCACTCTTCCTCCCACTAAAAAGAAAGGAGAAAATGGTAAACTGTAGAGTACATTTCCAGTTATCATTAGCATATTACATATTAAAAAACAATGATTGACGTTTCTTTTTTTATCAGCTAATCTACCGATTATCAGCGTCAGTATAGACGATGCCACCATGTAAGATACAGACACAACTCCATAGTACAGCTTAGGTGTGTCTGTAGTTATCATTTCTTTGATGTATGACCATAATGTTAAAATTGTAAGACTGTATTCCATTCCGATGATAATAAGTTGAATTGAAAACGCAATAAACGTGAGTTTTCTCTTTTTTAACCACTTTTCATGATGTCGCGTATTTAGATTCATGGTCTAAGAAAAAAAACATTCAGTAAATTTTGATCAATCCTTATACGTAACATAAATAAACTATGAAGACAGGTTTTATAATTAAATTATCTAGATATTTGCTTGTGAAAAAAAAAATGTTCTCACCGTCCCTAATAAAATCTTCATGTAATATATTGAAAATAAATTTATAATAGTTTTAATTTTGTTGTTAAACCATAGCTTAAAAAAGACTAATAATGGTTGTATTTTCTGAACAAGCTACATAAAATTTTTACAATTATTGAAAATTTCAACCGTCATTGCATATATATATGCCATTTATTGATTGGATCATGTTACTGATTGTAAGTTTGACGACGTCAATTTAATTGTGGTTTAGAACGATTTCCGGACAACATTTTAAAAAGCAATTAAAACCCGACAGTAATTAAATTAAAAAATTTTGAAATAATTATAATAACCCATGATTAAAAATGGTGAACGTTAGTGCATTAAACAGTTTTTTTTAGCAGCGTTTGAATGCGAATCGTAACAAAAGGATTGCTACAATTCTTGATGTTAATTGAAAAATCGCGCAAACACACACTTAAACAACACTCACAGCGTTTACACATACACACACGCACGCACACCCACATTCTATCAAAATTCTTTTCTTTTTTTTTATCCAAAATGGAAGGACATTAAATTTTAATCAATATAAAAATTTATTAACAAAATAACAATAAAAATATATAACAATAAATATATATAATAATAAAAACATATAATAAGAAGTAATATTTTTGATGATAGCTATCAAACTATTTATATATTATATAACAAATAATTTTTTTAAGTGTTATTTTGTTTATAAATTTTTATATTGATAAAAATTTAATGTCTTTCAATTTTGGATAAAAAAAAAGAAAAGAATTTTGAGTTAAAAATTTTGAGTTAAAAAAAGAGTTGAAAAAGATTTTTAAAAAATTTATTGTTTCAACCCTGCTAGTTTTCTTAAAATGCAAAAATGAAAGGACTGAAAGAATATGGCCGCCAAAATTTATTTTGGTAAGAGTACTAGTCAATTTTATAACATTAAGCAATAAAACTCTTGTATTTTTATACTAAAAAAGTATCGCACTTGTATTTCCGGTCTACAATTCAACATTTTTTCACAGTTAAGCAAAGGTGAGAGGAAATATTCAAATAAGTTGTGTCCGCTAAGTAACAATCTTAGCGGACACAAAGTTGACATTTTAATTGTTGTCTATAAATGAAACTGTTTTATTATTGAGCAGGTTAATTGAAAGTCGAAATGTTCGGTTTACTTTTCTGATTCAACCACGTGATATAACTATGACAGATATTTTGTTGTTTTAAAAAATAGCGGATTTCGTTTTTATGTTAACAAAGCTGAATAGTTTAAATAAACTAACTACTGCAAATTAATATAAACAAACATGGTTGTTGATGTTTACAACCTTTAGCATTCCAATTTGTTTTACTTCTTTCAGATTTGTTGGTTTTAAAAATTTCAAAATTTTCTTTCTTTGTTGAAACGTGATTTGATATTTTGTCAATTTGTTATCTTTAGCAATATACCACTTGCTTGTTCTTTTTTTTTTTTTTCTTTAGTTGACAAAGCAAAATTTTAAAACAGTTCCATGTTTTTTTACCTTTATAATTTTTAACAATCATACAAATTTGTATAATTTTGTTTGTAAAATTTTATACAAATGACGTCATCTCAGTGATATATCAGATAGCAACAAGTTGGAGTCGTAGTAACTACTAAACAACTTTTTTCTTAACAATCGTGTTTGATTTTTGTTTCCTGCTCAATAAAATATTTCTAGTTTTTTTACATTGAAAGTATAAACTGAACTTAATATTAAGATTAAGCATAACTACGATACATTGTTTGATAACAATGTATCTTAGTTACGTCATTGTTTGAAAACATTGTATCTCGTAATATGTATTAGTCGTGCTGAAACACTATCAATAATTTTTAGTCACAAGAAAGTGCGTGAAAAAAATTTTCTACAAAAGTATTGACAGATTGCTTGCTTGTGTGATACTATTTTTTATTTTACCATGAAACCTTTTCTATAACATGAATAATTGTACATTAATAGTAATTTAATAAAAATTAATTAAATTATTTAACATTTTATAAAAACAAAAAAAAAAAAGTTACTTTATAGAACTTATTATTATAAAGTTTGAGAATTTGCATGATGTTTTTTAAATCAGTTAAAGTTAATTTTTAGCATAATATAAAATTAGCTCGATTGTCATTGGTGAAGTAGAAATAAAGTATTCAATTTTTTATTTTGGATAAAAATAAATTTTCATTAATATATCCCGCATAAGTGTTAAGCATTAATAAAGAAGGCAAACAACTTTAGATCACCAAGTTCAAATAAACGTAGGAAGATAGTATTAACTTTATGAGGGTTACGTACAAAAAGCTTGGCCAGTTTCAAGACTATTCAAGAAGTTCAGCAGATTCTCGGAAACTATCACCATCTTGTTCGCTCACGCTCTGCACTGCCATCAAGAATTATTATGCAAATAACAGTCAAAGATTTGAGGCAGTTCTGGAATATGAAATTTAGCTTGCCTTTAGTAATATATCCTTGATAAAAATACAAAACTCAAGTACAAGTTTTTACTATTTTGTCAAGGATATATAATGATATCCTTAGCAAAAATAAAATGAAGAACAGTTAATTTATGATTTAAATGACTGATAAAAAAGGCTACGTACCAATCAGCCGAACAGTTGATGAGCATCCTGCTGAATGGTAGTTGATACCAAAAAGTCTGTATTTTTATCATCTAAAGCAATTATGTACAGAATCAAGCACTCAAAATGATATTGACTGACAATGTTCAGCCTTGGTCAAACCATCATCAAAAGAAAGGTTAAATCAAAAGCAATTATACTTATTAAAATAATTTTTTTGAGAAGTATTATTAAAAAATCACTTTTTTTTAAATCTATGTTTATTTTTGGTTTGTCAAATGTTAATTGTTGCATTGTGGGCAAAAGCAAAAAATATGTTTGTACTGTGTATGCGTTAGATTGTTTCTTTTTCCAGGTTATGCATTGGTTTTAGACACTACTCGGATACTTATATAACTGTTGCGCTAATCAAATTGTCATAAACGTAAATCATTTGGATTGGCTGCTTATATAAAACAATTAACGTCCCCTTTGGGAATATGTATAAATAGCGTGCTTATCGAAGCCTCGCTCTTTTGGAGTAACCTATCAAACAACAATGGACTCGAGCAACTCTTCTACTACTAGCTGCGATCTACGATATTTTCTTTGTGTCTATCGCATATTTGTATATACTTATTAATTATAATAAATTGAACTCGTTTTACAATACGGCTCTTACGTAAAACAACAATAACCAAGCTGTTAATAAAAGTGCCATGTTCTCACTCAGCAAGGTGGAACAGCAAGCAAATTGTGTTTTTCTAATCCCTGAAGAAAGACATTTATCAATCCCTGCAGAAAGACATCTAGAAAATTATTGAAATAAAAAAAATTTATTACCTTTTTTTTGTCATAAGCATGGTTTAAATGAGGGGGGAACCTAATTGAACAAATCTAAAAGAAACCATATTAGGCTGCATTAAATCCCAAGACCAGACATATCCAGCTATGACCTGACATATACTTGGGTTACATTCAAAAATTTGCATAGAAAAAATAGATAGATGCTAGGGAACTCCAAAGTAATTTTTTGACTATCATGCCCGTATACGGACATGATAACTCCATGTTACCGGGTTAAGCCTAATGTAACTCGATGTTACCGGGTTAAGCCTAATGCAACTCGATGTTACCGGGATGATAATACTCTTGAGTATCATCTTAATTGAAATTCTCATTAAAACGTCTAACCACGAATAATTTAACTTTATAAATTTTGTTATACATTTATAAATTATATATTAAACAAAATCAGTCCTAAAAAATGAAAATATCGGGTTTTTATTTCCATAAAGTAATTTTTTATCTAATTATTTTGATCTAATAAATTTTAAAATAATTAAATTTTATTATGTTTAGAATCTAATAATGTATAAAAATAAGTTTGTGAATGTTATTATTGTTTTGTTCGCAACATATACGAAAAAATATCTTTCTGAACAAATGTTTATATAGTTAAATAGTTGTGATGGCTAGACAGTAAGCTAACTAGTTTCTAGCCATTTTCCTACCGAAGGATATGTATAATTCTAAAGCCCCGGGTTTTTTTATTGTTATAGTTTTTAAAGGTGCTCCCAGAACTCCTTACTGTCTTATCACAAAACACCGCGGAAAATGTGTAGATCTATTAAAAGGTATACCGACGTATACCTTTTAAAAGATCTACACAGAGATACAAGATTTTATGATAGGTCGAACATAAACTTTATAGGCTTTGATCAGAGGCTTGAAATCGTTACTGATGAAGGATTTTAAAAGTATTAGGAACAAGAATGTGCTTTGCTTGCAATAAAAGAACAGTGATTAGAAAACTTCATATCCGAAGATACTTCTACACCGATATCTTAAATTGAATTAATAGATTCAATAGGTGTACCAATGTTCATTTAGTATGAATTTAATGGTAAAGAACAGTTTTCATAACGTTGCTATATTAAGTTGCCAAATTATTGACCATTGTAAAAAATATTTTAAGGTATTGATGAGTTGTTTCCATCGCAGCTTGCTTGATATAACTTGCTGTCATTTGCAAACAACTTAATAACTTAATGCTGCAATCACCATCAATGCATGAAGTTACATCATCTATAAAAACTAAAAATGGGTCCCAAAACAATCTCTTGAGGTAATCCGCTCTTTACAAAAATTTTGTTTAAGTGCGAGTTACCAACGCAGATACATTGAGAACGATTTGTTAAATAATTGGTAATCCAGTTTTGCAATTCATACTAGATACAATAATAATGCAGTTTGAACAACAGCTTATAGTGATTCACAGAATCAAAGACTTTCTTAAAGTCTATATATACAATATCAACTATCTTTTTGTTATTAGAAGCAGTGGTCCACTCGTTTAAGGTTGTCAATATCTGTGTACAAGTGGACCTAAAAACACGTCATAGAAGTAGGTCTATAGTTTGTGGTTAAAGATGGGTTTCCTTTCTAATAAATGGGGCACACTATAGCATTTTCCAGATTAAAGGTATGGCATTTTTTGAGATTGACAATTGAGATTGGCAATTCGAACAGGATGTAAAGAGGAAAAGCAATGGCATTTGTGATTAATTTAAGAAGTATTGCTGGGTAGATTCCCATTTTTCTTCAAAATGTCTGATATTTAAATACTAAAACAATCCAAAGAAAAAACATTTTATTTCGGTTTATTTTTTGTTTGATTAAAGTTGAAAAAAAAAATATATTTGATATAAAACATTTTTGCAGAGGAGTTAAGTTGTTCAAATTGCACTTTTTCATTCTTTTATCCACGCTTTTTTATTCTCTTTAGCAACCACCATGATGTTTTGTCTCTGATTTTCATTATGACTATCTGCCAGGAAATCATGCACTAGACAAATATTTCTTACATAGCAGTCGCTTGTGTACTGAATATTTAAAACAAAATTTTTAAAAACTTGAAGTTGGGATAAAGATCTCCAAACTTCTCATCAGAAATCCAAAACAATATATCTTGTATATTGAGATCGAATATAAAAAAAGTGCTGTTTTTCCCATAAAACAGAAAATGAGCGTTTTTGTTAATGATTATATCATCTCTAATCTCTGTTCTCTTTATTTTAAAATAAGAATTATCATCGGGATATGGATAATTAAGAAGTTTGTGTATCATTAGAAATTTCTCTTCAATAGTTACGCCTTGATCTGCTAGTAATACAATATCAACATCTTCAGCCAAGGACGAAGATGTTGGTATTGTATCACTTTTCAGACTTTTATCTAGTCTTCTTTTTCTATGCTTTCAGCTACTTTAATAGCTTTGAGATCAGTGAAAGGTGCTACTTATTTGACATCTTCTATCACCTCCACTGACATAAATTTCAGTTTCTTATGAATTAGTTGACGCATTAATAAATATATTCCATTTGTCATAAATCTAGCTTCATGAGGAGGAGAGGGTCAATGAATTTAGAAGTTTAGTACTTCTTAACCCTGATGGAAAAAATCATTCACATAATCTTATATAGTCTGTCCTTATCTTGGAAAAGGTTTCCAGGGTAATGGCATTTTTAAGTATTTTTTAGCTTCTGGTACAACCTGATGCGTTTAAGAATTGTTTTTTGAAATGTTGAAATTAAATCTGTCTAATGAGTTAATACCTTCGTTGCATACCTGAAAATTTATTGAAAAGTCAATATATTTTTTTAAATTTGAAAACAGTTGGTTTATGGTGCTTTAGTCTTTCCTTTTAGCAAATGCACTAAACGACTGGTGAGTCTATCATATATGTACCTTCTGACAACATACCTACTTATAAGTTTGATTCCTCTATTATGTGCACTAGTTTGAAGCAGTTGTATCCGTACAAACAGCATAAATGTTATTTTCAATTTTAAAACCTTCTAGAACCTTTTTTATTTGTTTTGCTTGGTCTTTGCATTTATATGAGTTTGCCTGGAACATTCCTAGCAGAATATCTGGAGCATTCCTAGCAAAATACTACTAATATCATCCTCAGGAGCCTTCATGCTTAACAGTAATATTATATTTAAGATTTCATTCATTACACAATTTACTTTCGAGGTGAAGCAATAGTTTATTACGGATTAAAACATTTTTATAACTATTTCTAATTTCTTCCAAATTCCAAGCAATATTTTCCAAATTAAGCCCTGCATGCTTTAGAATTGAAGAGAGAATTGCTGTGTGACCCCTTACATCAAGATAGAATCTTGTAGCAACTTCACTTGTCGCTTTTATTAATCCGTCCCCTGATATTGACAGGTGCAGCTCACCAGTTCCTTTATTTTTCTTGATAATGCCACAGGAAAATTTTTATCTTCCTCTTTAAATATATCGAAAAATGAATTATTAAACTAAATTGACTTTAAATGGCTGGAGCAAGGAAGAAGACATCAGTTTGTCTTATCACCGAACCCCATTGTGGCTTCATTACAGGTCGTTGATGTAACTGTTGATATAAAACTACACAATTGATATAACTGTTAATATATAAATTCGTTTTGTAAAATAAATTTACAACAAATAAAAGTAAAAGCAGATAAAAGAAATAAATTGCGCTATTTATATATTTTTACTAAAAATGAAAAAGAAAGTTTAAGTCCGTAGATAATAAAAAACGCTTTGATTCAGATTCAAACTGTTCAAGTGTATTTCTTTTGATAGTAACAATTTGGTGGAAAAATTTCAACAAATAAGGTTGGCAGTGTTGGATTGATTATGAGTTTAACTTTAATGTAAATTTTGGGATGACAAAGTTGTTATATGAGAATCTAGTAGGGTATTTATGACTTATTTTGCTAAAATAGGGTTGAAATATCAGAGGAGATATATTTTTTTTAGACATAAACTATAAAATAAGATGTATGTTAATTTTGTATACATTCAACGCTCCAAGTTTGCATAAGAGAGGTTCACAAGACACTTTTTTACTTACTCCAATTCTACAGGCATATTTTTGTTTAATGTAGAGTTTTTTAAGCTAAGTATAATTTGTGTTTCCCCACGTCATGTTACCATAGCTTAGGTGAATATGTATTAATGAAAAGTATAAACTTTTTAAGGAAATGATATTTAGTAAAGGTTTTACTTTATACATTAATGAAAAATTTATTGAGAGCTTTCTCTCTAAAGTGTTTATATGGAGCTTCCATGACAAATTTTCATCCAAGAGCATTTTTTATGAAAGTTTCTCTTTTTTAAATCAGGTAGTTTAAGAGGAGTATTTTCATTTTTATTTGGTTTTTAAAACAAGATGAACTTGGTCTTTTTGACATTCAAAGAGAGTTTGTCACACCTGAACCACTCGTTTATTTTATGTAATTCTTTGTTAGCTATGTTACAAAAGTGTCTTGATGTTTCTTTGTGAATAAAAAAAAATTGGAGTCATCTGCAAACAAGATTAAATTTAATAAGTTTGATGTTGAATATAGATCATTTATATAGAGTAAAAATAATAATATGGCGCTATTTGTTGTTTTTTTTGTTTTATACTGAATATATTGCTTTCAGTCTGATAAATAATCTTTAAACCAAAGTATGTTGTTACTTTTTATTCCATACACTTCAAGTTTTTTTAGAAGAATGTCCTGATTTATGGTGTCAAAAGCTTTAGAAAGATCAATAAAAACTTCTAATGTGAAGCAAACATTACTAAAAGCATTAGACATATGAGTAACTAGCTCAGTTATAGCATGGTCAGTTGAGTGTTTTTTTTTTAATCCAAATTGTCTACCGTCTACCTAAAAATATTTTCCGTCAAATAATCGTAAAGTCTATTATACATGACGTGTTCAAGTAAATTGGAAAAACATGATAAAACTGATATAAGTTTATAATTATTAGTATCAAAATTATCTCCAGATTT